CTAACAGGGGAGACAGGACTCAGTTTATCTGCTGACATCATATATCCTTTCAAACACTGGAAAAAGAGTAATTCACTCTCAGAAAACGAAGACATACATACCCATGAAGTCAAATCAATACAGAATAATACAGTGCTAATGCTCTGCGGTTTGAAAACCTAAGGATGCCTAGCCCAAAGCACAAGTTTTGACCTCAGAGATGGGAGAACATTTAGGAAACAGGACATATTCACCATAGGAAATAGTGTCACATCCTTTTTGCCAGTAAAACACTTGCACTTCTGTTCAGCACAACCCGTTAAATGCTCTTCTACAAAAGCAGCTTTGATTTTCTTAAGACAGCTGACGTGCACTGTATTAATCCACGATTAGTCTATCTCCACACATAACCTGTCTCAATTTTGATTAACAGTAGCAGATAAATCAACAGTAATTTGATAAAGCAAGATGAACCAGGCTAACCACAAGTATTCAGCCAGGACTTTGAGGGCCGTTACCTGATTTGATGTTAAGGTCAAGCCCTTAGCTTTAGGCACCATATTTTAAAGAAAGTGTTATCCTGATCTGATCTTCCGTGTTGAAGAATTTAACAGCTCAGTACCATAACCATCATGAAGAAAAGATGCTTCCCTCTGCCACACCAGCCTCCAAATAACATATAGGAAAGGAGGGGACTACACTATTTTCAGTGGTGCCCAGTGATAGGACAAGAGGCAACAGGCACAAATGCAAGTACAGGAAGTTTCATCTGAACATGAGAAAAACTACCTGACTGTGAGGGTGATAGACCCCCTGAGTAGGTTACCCAGCAAGGCTGAGGAATCTCCTTTGCTGGAGATACTCAAAACCTACCTGGTCATGATCCTGTGGAATGTGATCTAGATGACCCTGCTTGAACAGGGTGGTTGGACTACATGATCTAGAGAGGTTCTTCCCAAGCTTGACTATTCTGTAATTTTGTGAAAAGGAGTTGTCAAGGCATACTACCTTCCATGGATTTGACTACAGAGCTCGTCCCAGTTAACAGAAAACATGGTTATATTCTTGAATACTGACTGAGATGAGAGCTGATCAGCTGATCTCCATCACCCAAACTGTGAGTAAGATCATGGGAAGACAAGCAGTGAGAAACATCAAATGAAATAATTTCTTTTCTCTGAACTAAATTTTACTAAAGCATCATTCTATTTGCATTTTATCAGTCTTTCAACCTTGAACAAGATGAACATTTTAAGTTTTGTTACTCTTTCATAGATCCCTCAGTAAATGCAAGCCACTCGTATTGCTGTCACACTGCTAACAACATGGTTGTATACAAATCCATGCCATTCTTCATAACATGCTACTGAAATGAGAAGCACCTCTTTCAGGCACTAATACACATGCCCTCCTCCCACTTTGAGGACAAAATGTTTGTTATCAGAACTTCATGAGAAATCACGACAATACTACTGGTGCCTAAATCAGTACTTATTTTCTACTCTCCTTCCTGACTTTAAAATGCATACTTGTCCCTGGAAACAGAGCGGGAATGCATACAGACACCTCCCCGTAGCTACTGCCAGGTCAAAGAGCAGTTACTGAGGTTGCACCAGCACTTCCTCCTTATCGAAGGTTTTTAGTTTTGCTGAATTCACCACTCTGGAGAGCATAAAGGTATCACTGAAAACCTTATTAAAAAGAGGCAATTCACAGTGACTTTTAACACAGCACTTGATGTTAATACTCAGGTGTGGTCTTTAGATGCAAAAATATTTTCTATGAAATACTTGAGTACTGCTAACAGCTTTTGTAAAGGACCATTTTACTCTTCTGTCCCTTAAAATACCCTTCCCAGAAATCAGCCGCAGTTGTAATAAATTTATTTTCTGAAAAACATTTGAGAGCCTTTTGACTCCTCTTTTACACTCAAATAAACCAGTACTTTCCCACTGCTCGCCCATAATATGAACCTTAGGGCAATACAAGGATGAAATTCATAGTTTGTTTTCTAACATATTTGTCTACAAGCTAGCTTGACAACACTGTCACACATACTTTTTAGCAAACCTTTCCTCTAAATCTAGAGAAGAAATGCAGAAAGTGAAAGAGTTGAGGCAAAATGAAGTACTAAAAATGTTAAAAGAAAGTTGCTTCAATTCTTACTCATCATTTTTGTTTATAAGATAATTATGGCCTACCATAACTGATACATAACGCAATAGGCAAATCACTTAAGGAAACATAATGCATTGCAGTGATCCTCATATAGCAGATAGTAATTATAGGTATGTTGAAACAATTACATTTTTGTATCTCCTTATTCCTCATCTTGTAAGTGGAACTAGATCCACAAGAGAATGTAAATGTCTTGCCACTTACTAGACTACACCACCCTCAGATGAGCAACCAAGCTCCCTTATGCACTGAAAAGATTAAGTTATAGATGCTGTTCAATGTCTAAAACTAAACATGAGTGGCAAATGGCCAATTCAGCCAAAAACAAACAAAGAGAGAAGTAACAGAGACTTAAACTCCCAGATTTAACTCCACACAAGAACAACAAAAATATTCCTTTCCTCTTACTCATTCAACACTTGGCCCATGTGCAGCAGAGCCGGGTGCAAATCATCGATCTGTACTGATCATTTTGCCCCCCAGCTGGCCCCTGGGCTACATACCTTGCCTGCTCCTGCCCCAAATGGAATATCACTCCTCAGGAATGAAACTCTCCCAAGTTTGGAAATGCCTCACATCCAAACACCCGGGTGTAGACTTCACATTCCCACCAGAAGTAGAGGAATCTGAACCTGAACTTCAACATCCTGGAAAAGTATTCAAACTATTTGTTAGAGAGGCAACATCACATAATTCTTCTGCAGAAAAAAAGTATGCAGGATTGCCCCCATCTTTGTCTACTGCTTTAAAGATTAGAGTCATTCCTTATCCAAATCATTTGTGTGTCACTAACCTTACCTCTGCTCGTCTTCTCATTCAACTGACATATATTTTTACAGTTACAGTGTTTTTATTAGTATGCAATTAGACATCCTTGGGAGTATAAAACAAATGCCTAACAATAGGTATGCTTAATTTATGCTTACTTTGTAAGGCTTACTTAAAAATATCCTGACATATAAATAACTTATATGCTTAGAATTCTGCTCCATACTTGGATCTGAGCTACTTCTAAAGCATTTCACCACATAGTTATGTTAGAGGCACAGAGAGGAAGATACCAAACATAAAACACTTGTTCGCCAGAATTGCCGTGTTGAATAAAGCACTTCAGTAGGCTGCCAGTAAATCGATTTTAAAATCACAGAATAGGCCATGTTGCCATCAGGTGAGTTTTCTATCATGAATGTACCAGCAAATCTTTTCAAATATGCAAATATCTCACTTTGCCCATTAAGAAACCAACAGCATTAAATAAATATTTAAGAGACATTTTGAGGTTTTCTGATGAATGAACAAAGTAATAATTACTTTGGTGCTCTGAATGCCATAATACTAAGTCTATACCACTACTTGTCACATTAAAGATTTCTCTTTTTTTAATGGCCAGATGCTACAGCTTAAGAATCTTAAATATAAACACAGACACCGATTACTTCTTTTTCTAAGCAGCAGCAGACTGCTTGAATTCTTAGCCTTCAGAATTCTAAAAGCCTAATGTTCTAATAGAAATGTATTTAATCAGAAGTACAAATCAACAAAACTGAATAGCTGAGACAGGTAGTTACAACTGTTACTATTTCATGTTAAGCCTCAGTCTTTCAGAAGACATCATAAGAGAATTCACATCTACAAATGCCCCAGGATTTTTAAAAGGCTACAACTTGAAAGGGTAGGAAGAGATTTTAATTAAAAAGTAGCAAAGAAGTGTTATGAAAATGTAGTTATTTGCACGGGGAAAAAAATATGGATACATAAGAACTTCGGGCTACATTAAGTTTTACATGTCCATAAGCCTTGGTATGAATGCTGACCTCTACATTACATTTTTACTGCTTCTGCCTCACATGCTGCTGTGGTAACGAAAGAGGGTTGGCACCCCTCAATGGCCCAGCCAAATCCTGCAAACTCCTAAAAAGGTTACATCAGTTTACTGAAAAAATATTTTCATTAACTTTTCAAAACAAGTCTATATCTTGTAAAAAGAAATTCAATAAAATTCAAGTAAAATGATCATCTTTATCATCATTTAATTTCTATGGAACAAAAATTACTACCCATAGCTATTCCAGACATTGTGAGGAAACACGACATGCATTGGCAGGAGGCAAAGTTTGAAAGAACTCCTTTGAAAGGAGTGATCATATATTAACAACGCTAATTAAATTTAACATCCTAGTACCCTGGTTCACAAAGTGCTGCAATATAAATATTTGATATCTTGTTAAACCATCTACACTATTAATCATTAGTTAACACTTTAGCATGTCAAATAAAGAGGGCTTTTGGATCCCAGTAGGTTAGAAATCAGTTTATACGTGTATAACAGACAGCTACACTCCAAAGCAATGGATATTTAATTCTGCAACTAGAGTTCTAAGACGATTATGATGAAAGAAAAAAGCAGCAGCATTTGTGAAAATTCAGATGACAGATTAAAAGAAAAGATCGTAGGTGTGGATGCCTAATCAGAGGCACATCAAAGGCACCCTATTCTTAGAAAATTCAGGGAAAACACCTCAATCCTCCAAAGGGGCACCCTGGCCCCTCTGAGGCCCTGGAGCCATGCACCAAAGCAGCAGCACTTGAAGAAAAACCCCGGTCACCGTTTCAAAAGCTCGACTACAGCCCAGTTATGCAGAACACGAGTATTTTGTCCTGGTAAGTGAGTGCAACAGTCAGTTTATACCCAAATTTCCCAGACAGAGACTCCAAGCTGAGTTTTCCCCCTTTTCATAGCGCTGAGCGCTCCGTCTGGGGGTTGTTTTTCCCTGTCCTTTTCCCGGAGAGCTGCCTCCCCTCCGAGGCCCCCAATTCACGGCATTACTCGGGGCAGACCTTACCGCTGTTGTCGCTGCCGCCGGCCGCTCTTTGTTGCGCCGCCTCCGCCGAGCGCCCCCGGAAGACCT